TTTGCATATGGAAGCTGATTGGACTTCACTGCATTCCACACCTCAAACTCACCCCCCTCCCCGCAAGGCAGTTGGAATGTCAGTTGCATATGGAACCTTCAAGGTCTTTTGCATATGGAAGCTGATTGGACTTCACTGCATTCCACACCTCAAACTCACCCCCCTCCCCGCAAGGCAGTTGGAATGTCAGTTGCATATGGAACCTTCAAGGTCTTTTGCATATGGAAGCTGATTGGACTTCACTGCATTCCACACCTCAAACTCACCCCCCTCCCCGCAAGGCAGTTGGAATGTCAGTTGCATATGGAACCTTCAAGGTCTTTTGCATATGGAAGCTGATTGGACTTCACTGCATTCCACACCTCAAACTCACCCCCCTCCCCGCAAGGCAGTTGGAATGTCAGTTGCATATGGAACCTTCAAGGTCTTTTGCATATGGAAGCTGATTGGACTTCACTGCATTCCACACCTCAAACTCACCCCCCTCCCCGCAAGGCAGTTGGAATGTCAGTTGCATATGGAACCTTCAAGGTCTTTTGCATATGGAAGCTGATTGGACTTCACTGCATTCCACACCTCAAACTCACCCCCCTCCCCGCAAGGCAGTTGGAATGTCAGTTGCATATGGAACCTTCAAGGTCTTTTGCATATGGAAGCTGATTGGACTTCACTGCATTCCACACCTCAAACTCACCCCCCTCCCCGCAAGGCAGTTGGAATGTCAGTTGCATATGGAACCTTCAAGGTCTTTTGCATATGGAAGCTGATTGGACTTCACTGCATTCCACACCTCAAACTCACCCCCCTCCCCGCAAGGCAGTTGGAATGTCAGTTGCATATGGAACCTTCAAGGTCTTTTGCATATGGAAGCTGATTGGACTTCACTGCATTCCACACCTCAAACTCACCCCCCTCCCCGCAAGGCAGTTGGAATGTCAGTTGCATATGGAACCTTCAAGGTCTTTTGCATATGGAAGCTGATTGGACTTCACTGCATTCCACACCTCAAACTCACCCCCCTCCCCGCAAGGCAGTTGGAATGTCAGTTGCATATGGAACCTTCAAGGTCTTTTGCATATGGAAGCTGATTGGACTTCACTGCATTCCACACCTCAAACTCACCCCCCTCCCCGCAAGGCAGTTGGAATGTCAGTTGCATATGGAACCTTCAAGGTCTTTTGCATATGGAAGCTGATTGGACTTCACTGCATTCCACACCTCAAACTCACCCCCCTCCCCGCAAGGCAGTTGGAATGTCAGTTGCATATGGAACCTTCAAGGTCTTTTGCATATGGAAGCTGATTGGACTTCACTGCATTCCACACCTCAAACTCACCCCCCTCCCCGCAAGGCAGTTGGAATGTCAGTTGCATATGGAACCTTCAAGGTCTTTTGCATATGGAAGCTGATTGGACTTCACTGCATTCCACACCTCAAACTCACCCCCCTCCCCGCAAGGCAGTTGGAATGTCAGTTGCATATGGAACCTTCAAGGTCTTTTGCATATGGAAGCTGATTGGACTTCACTGCATTCCACACCTCAAACTCACCCCCCTCCCCGCAAGGCAGTTGGAATGTCAGTTGCATATGGAACCTTCAAGGTCTTTTGCATATGGAAGCTGATTGGACTTCACTGCATTCCACACCTCAAACTCACCCCCCTCCCCCACTTGCCCCAGAGTCCCCATCTATACCTTGCGGCTAAGCCACAAATGGACCTCTGCTCTATGTACTCATCTAATTCCCTCTTATAAGAACATAAGAGAAGCCAGTGTTGGATCAGGCCAGTGGCCCATCCAGTCCAACACTCGGTCACACAAAGCATCACTTGCCCCAGAGTCCCTATCTATGCCTTGCGGCTAAGCCACAAATGGACCTCTGCTCTATGTACTTATCTAATTCCCTCTTATAAGAACATAAGAGAAGACAGTGTTGGATCAGGCCAGTGGCCCATCCAGTCCAACACTCTGTCACACAAAGCATCCCTTGCCCCAGAGTCCCTATCTATACCTTGTGGCTAATAGAAAACGTGACAAGCATTAAGTGAAGGCTACCTTCCATGTTTAAAAAGGCCTTCAGATTGGAAATATATGGTGATGTATTTACATCCCCCCCCCCTTTTATGTCCTGATGAGGTCATGAGACTGGGAAGAGAAAGGTGTCTTGGCAATTTGACCTCCAATTCAGCCTTCTATTTTAACCAGCACCACTGGCATTGCCTCGGTTGGGATTTCTTAACTCAGGAATGAGGCTGAAGTTATAAATGCCCCTGTATAATGTCTCTTAACTAGCACTGCAAGAGAGGTCAACTCAAAATAGGAGGGATATTAAAGTGATCTACGGATCATTAGTCAACCATCCAGAGTCTTCGCAAGCTCCTCTATGCAGCCCAGTAGTTTCATCTGTAACATAAATCTATTTAATTCATTTATTTAGTTGTTGTAGATTCTCCGGGCTGTATGGCCGCGGTCTCGCCATTGTAGGACCTGACGTTTTGCCAGTAACCATCCAGAGTCTTCGCAAGCTCCTCTATGCAGCCCAGTAGTTTCATCTGTAACATAAATCTATTTAATTCATTTATTTAGTTGTTGTAGATTCTCCGGGCTGTATGGCCGCGGTCTCGCCATTGTAGGACCTGACGTTTTGCCAGTAACTGTGACTGGCATATTCAGAGGTATAACGCAGAAAGATGGAGGACTCTCTGGCCGATTTCCCACAAGCGCTGCTCCACGCTCGCTCTTCCCTTTTGCCCCGATGGTACGTGTCAATTTCACACAAGCAGCTTGTGTGAAATTGACACGTACCATGGGGGCAAAAGGGAAGAGCGAGCGTG